TCGGCGTACCTACCTTACTTGTGAGGCAGATATCCGGACGCAAGCTGATTGTGATACGTGATACATACTGTTTGCGCTCCAGCTCCCATCTGTTGAGCCCTTGGATGGCACGGGCCTAACAAAAGAACATTGATCAGCGACTGCTCGCGGTGTCTGGCTAGCAATTGGCTTGGGCAAGGTACATTCAGAGAGAAGCGCTTCCCCGCCGAGAGACCTGGCTGGGTGACCATGACAGGCGTAGCACAGGTAGGACAGAATTTGTGAAGCATGGCCCCGGGGCCAAACGTGTAGGTCTTCAGCGTCTCCTCATCGCCCTTGACAATCTTGAAGTTCTCCCAGAGGGGAAAGAGGTGCAGATAGCCCTTCTTCAAGCAGATGCTGCAGTTGCATTCTGCGGCCGACTTGATCTCGGGCAATTCGACCTCGTAAACAAACGCACCGCAGTGGCAGTTGCCGCGGTAGGTCTTAAGGGAACTTTGCTCGGCTTCGGCCATGGCGGCGGCGGTAGTACCTGCTAGTTGGGGACAGAAGGGCTGAAGTGTTTGGCGGGCGGGGAAGCGACGGTTGAGGGGGCGGGAAGGAGTGAGGGGCGAGGGGAGGGGAGGTGATTAAATACCACTTGATATCTAAAGCCGCTGATAGGACCCAGGGCCAGGCAACATTTATGATGGTGTTGGGTTCAGCTTCTGCGGGTACCTACCTTACCGCCAGGCTTCCAGAGCGGTGAGGAGGCCGGAAATCGATAGGTATTCGGTTCAACTTGAATGCCGCGCCAATCAAGTTACCCTAGCTGACAGAAAAATCTTGTTGGATACTTGTATCCTTCAGCGGCTAACACCAGCTCCCTACAGACGTCGAGAACTAATAATAGTATCCACACACAGACAGACACATCATGCCAGGTCACTTTCACAACTGGGACTACGTGACAAGCTGGGTATTTGGATGGTACAGGGTTCACCAAGAGCCTTGACAGAAAGCCGAGACTGGTCTTTGCTTGCATAATAATCCGGCATTGGATACTACTTGGGAGTGCATTTTGACATGTCACGCGATCATTTGAACTCAGTTGACATCAAAGGAGTCGCCGATGATTGAACCACTAGTGTCGTCGGGGAGAAAAGTGATTTTGAAATGTTGCTTAGGAAGTGAAGATGAAACTGAATAATGCCTCGGGCAGCGTACCCGAAGGTGGTGTGGATAAAAGCTGAGTAGGAATTGTTTCCTTATTAGGTAGACTATATTTTCTCAAGCTGTTTGGCTTTCGATTCGCACCCGCCAGTTTTGTGCAAATAACAACACACTGAGCTGATATGGAACCTTGGCATTGGGGCTGCTCCAGTGTCGCTCAAGTGTCGCTTCAGCGTCACAGAACCCCCGTTTCAGGGCGCCCAGATCCCTCCAGCCCCAGTCCCCTGGGCCCCCTCAGGGCGCATGGCGGGATCAAATCTCTGCGACGAGCGATAAGACTCGGTCACACCTCGAGCTCAAAGGGTGCATCACCGTGCACATCACATCGCCTTGCACATCATATCGCATCGCCACCACGGCGGCCCCGACCCCCCGACGACGACGACGACGACGACCGGCCCTCACGCTCCGCTTTTATTTGGATAGCATCTTAGGGTAGCCATTATCTCGGCGTCGTATAGTTCTCCGCTTAAATAAAGTCTTGTGAGAGGCCAATTGCGCTTTCTTTCTCTGATGTAAAAATTCTTTCTCTCGCAAGTTGCCACCTGCGCCCTCATCTTCTCTTCACACCCCCGAGAGGACGACTGCAGTGGCCAAGATAGGACGACGAAACCGAGGAGAGCGCAGTCGCGGCGCCAAAGGAAGCGAGTTTGACGACGGCGACGATTACGCCGATTTCCGCGTTCAAGGGAAACCTAAAGGCAAGCGCAACAAGAAAGACAAGAAGCCCAGGCGCAAGATGGGTCAGAACGAGTCCGTCATCAGTGATGACACCCCGCCCGAGACGCTGCGGGAGCGCAGCCTCGCGGCTGTTGCCGACCACATCAATGCCGGTCGGGCCCGCCGCATCGTCGTCATGACGGGCGCTGGTATCTCGACCGCCGCAGGCAGTACGTGTCGTTGCCCTCATTCCACCCCCGGCCCCTGTTGACACGCGCAGTCCCCGACTTCCGCTCACCGGAGACTGGCCTATATGCCAACCTCGCCAAGCTCGATCTGCCCGAGCCCGAGGCCGTCTTTGACCTGCGCTTCTTCGAGAAGAACCCCAAGCCGTTTTACGTGCTTGCCAAGGACCTCTACCCGGGTAATTTTCACCCGACCGTCTCGCACACCTTCATCAGCCTGCTGGCCAAAAAGGGCCTGCTGCATCAGTTGTTCACCCAGAACATCGACTGCCTCGAGCGCGCCGCCGGCATCCCGAGCGAGCTCATCGTCGAGGCCCACGGCAGCTTCGCCAGCCAGCGATGCATCGAGTGCAAGGCGCCCTATCCCGAGGACCTGATGCGCGAGCACGTCGCCCGTGCCGACGTGCCGCGCTGCATCCGCGCCGGAGACTGCGGCGGCCTGGTCAAGCCCGACATCGTCTTCTTCCACGAGGCGCTTCCCATGTTGTTTTATGACAGAAAGGACCTGATCGAGAAGGCCGACCTGGCCCTCGTCATGGGCACCAGCCTGCAAGTCCACCCGTTCGCCGGCCTGCCCAACTACGTCCCCGAGGGTGTGCCCCGCGTCCTGTTCAACATGGAGCGCGTGGGATCGCTGGGAACCCAGGCCGACGACGTTCTTGCGCTGGGAGACTGCGACGCGGGTGTGCGCGAGCTGGCTGACCTGCTGGGTTGGCGTGAGGAGTTGGAGGCGCAGTGGCGGGGCCTCGTTGGGGAGGAAGAAGCCGAACGGCAACTGAGTGGTAGGAAGAAACGCGAGGCGGAGCTGCATGATGAAGTCATCCATCTAGCCGACCGAGTGGACGAGGTACTTCATCTGGATGGCCACGTTGGAGCTAACAAGGTGGGCAGTTTCATTTCCAGTTCGAGCAAAGATGCCGAAGTCGGCCAACACTCAGCCATCAGAGAAGAAAGCCCGCAAGCAGACAGCTCGGCGCCCCCAGTGGGAGCGCCAGGCAAAGAGCAAGAAGCGAGTCAAGCAGTACAGCCACTTGAGTCGGTACAACAAGTTGATGTCGCCGTTCTTCAAGGAGCAGCCCATCAACACGTGGATGTTTATGTCGGAGGTCTTTGCTCACCGCCGCAAGCTGTTGGCCAAGGAGATGTGCAAACAGGAGGAGGTCAACGAGTACCTCAAGCAGGCAAAGCAGCGCCGGAGAATGCACAAGCTTCGACGTCGGATCAGCCAGCTGTCTAAGCCGGTTCGGTATTGGGCACCGGGAGTTGTGACTATGAAGGAAGAGCCTGTGGCTTAGGTCTGCGAGTGGGATATGATACATTAGCGAAGGGCATGAGAGGGGTTGTGTTAGGAATCTACCCCCGGGGTCATTGGCTACATCCTAAAGTAGCGCTGGGTCACCATCTTCTGTCTGGCTTGTCAAGGTATCATGTAAATTCCCTTAGTTCTAGGCGCTTCGGATGGAGTTGGAGGGCCTCTCTCTAACAATTCCTGTAGTGGCTGACGATGCTGCACGGCCGTAAACACAAAGGGAATTAACTGTTCTACTCAAGTCATGACTACGCCTGGAAGTGAATACCGATTGTCTCGTCGTTGAGTGAGTAGCACCGGACTATCAGCAACCCCCAGACCTTTCATTGTCAGGAGCGTGACACCACGGCAGTTCTTTCAGCCCAACATTTTTTGACAATGATCAAAGAACATGTTTAGGTTCCCAAGTCAGACAATACCTTTGTTTCCCTTGCCTCACCCCTTTTGGCGGCGCGGCCGCTCCTCTATTTCTCTCCGATCAGAGGTTATTCATCTGAGAATTCCTATTACAACTAGCATGCTCAGGAACACAATGGGGCCCGGTGTCATCCTTATATACACTCGCACACCTCTGGGCCCCTCCAGTCCCTGGCCCCCCAGGAATCGCTGGCTCAGCAAGCCCCCTCCCCCCCTCCTCCCCCCCTCCTCCCCCCCAAGCGCGAAAATGTTGTCCGTCCTCTTCCGCACGGCCCGCAGGGCCGCCCAACAGTACACCGAACCCACCCCGACTACATCGGGTGCGACCACCCCCAGCACCCCCGACGACGACGACACCTCCGACATCGACCCTCTCGAGCACCGCCGCCTGCGGCAGCAGCACCGCAGCCTCCGGGTCCAATTCGGGCTGCCCCCACCGCCGCCCCACAACTTCCTCCCGCAGTGGCCACCCTACTTCACCCGCGCCCACAAGGAGCAGCGCTGGAGCGCCTTCTTTGACTACCTGGACGGGATCCAGGCCGAGCAGCGCGCCCCGACGCCGCCGCCGCGCAACCCCGACCGGTCCCGACCCCACGCTGACATGGCTAACGAAACGTCAACCCATCCCCCCCGACGCAGGAATGCACTTGGCGATCTCCGCCGCGACGCGGACTGGGCATGCTGCGGCTGCTCGTCGCCCAACGCGCGGTGGGAGTTTGTGTGCTCGGTGTGCCGGGCGCACTGCAAGGGGGCGTGCTGCGAGGTGTTGCGGGAAGGGTGGCGGCCGGGTGGCGGCCGGGAGGTGCGGGTGGTGGTGGCGAGGCCGTCGGGCGAGGTTGCAGATGGGTGGGAGGTTGTGGAGGGGTAGGGAGGTTGTAGATGGGTTTGGGTATGGAATTTGGGAGATTTTGCTTACTATTTTAGGATTCTTTCGAGGATCATTGCCTTGTGCCATGGTGTGTGGGTGATTGGCTACCCGGTAGGTATTGCTGCCCTCTCACTGCCTGCGGGATAGCATTTCTTGGTGCATTGCTTGGATATGTGGCTGTGGCTCTTGTAAATTATCGTAATAGATAGGAAAAGACGCCTGCAAAGGCACTGGTAAGTACATGTGAGTGAGAAAAATGCAGAAGGAAACCTGTAGATACATAGGGAAAAGAAGCGGCCAAAAAGGTGATTTCCCATATCGGGGTTCGAACCCGAGTCGCCGGAAAGGGCCAAGTAGCTATTTTTGAAAATCCGGAATGCTAAACCTCTACACTATATGGGATGCTTTCTTTATTGACATTGGGCCACATTAACTGGTCCTTATCGCTCCTTTCCGAACATGGAGGGCATCCAATTTCACGCATGTTCCACTTTGACCCCTTCGCCTGCTAAAACCAGTCATTGCACGTCTCATAGATGAGAGGTCAGCCCTGCTACAAACGTTCGTGTGGTATGGTCACTACGGCTGCCAATGATGGGGCGGGGGCGTATACGGACGGGTAGGTACATAATGCGCGTGGGAAGTGTGACACATCTGGGACGAGACAAACACGTTAGATGCCCGGCCTACGCATTGAACCCACAGTCCAAGTGAGCAACATAACCCAAGATAGGCCTGGAGCCCCAGGTCCCGGCTTAGTGTTAACAAACAAACTCCTGGGGCTCGATGGGTCGAGATGACACAGAGCTCGTGGACTTTTTATCAGGATCAATAGGCAAACTTGATAGTACTATGTGTCGCTCTTCAGTTATCGTTTAAAAAAACTGCAAGTGAGAATGGTTTTGTCTAATCAACAGGTGGTGTTGCATTTTCCTTTTCAGGGGCTCCGCACTCGAGCGTCAAGTCAGGGGCTGAGTCAACAAAGAGGGACTCGCACCACAGCACATTCCTAGGAGCTGGTCCACCACAGCCCACCCAAAAACACCGGATAAGGCCATATTTCGATATCATCACCCCAAGTGTACATCTCTTCATTGCAAACTGCCCACAGACTAGAGCAAATGTGGAAGGATCCCGTCCGTCAACCCATGAATGCAACGTAACATCACCAAAACAAGGCCATCATATCAAAACAAGACACAAAACGAAACGCCAACACAACCACCCCAAGCTCAATTCCGCAAAATACTACAGCCAAAACGCTGATATGCATGCTAAGCAAAGCCAATATCATCCACTGCAAAGCCCCCAGACCCCTCCACATCAGCTACTCATCCACAAGTTCCATCCTTTCATAATATCAAGCTCGCGCGATTGCCATGTAGAAACAATAACGGGGTCAGTCAGCAATCTGTGCCTCTCCGGCCTCATCTGATACCCCCCTCGTCCGCTTCAAATGCATCACTCATTCTCCCTCTCAACTGCAAGGATATAATTTTCAGGGGCCCAATGTTTGCAAATCCCGCCATGAAACAAAGTCATCGTCTCCTTCATGTTTGTGTGGTATTTCCTCTTCTTTCGTCAAGTCCAGACACCCTATAAACCGCTTGGACTTTGGCCATTGTTGTTTCACGCCATGCCATGGTGGGATGTCGACGCATCAAATGACCGGCCTCTTTTCTCCTCCCTTCGCTCTCAAGGGATATACGATGAAGACGAAGACGACAGGGAGGGAAAGCGCAAGCACAAACAGAAAACCTAAAAGAAACACAACCAAGAATAGATAAGGACCGCCAAACTCCAACAAACCCAGGAGCGCCCGACCTCTTGAAAACCCGCCCGACAACTCCGAAAAACTGCGCAAAGCAGCAAAACCAAAAGCCTGCAATGTGCGTGCATGATACATGTGGCGGGAATGAGGGACGAGCCGGTGTCAATAGACAAGCCTGGCATCGTCGGCCAGAATGAAGAGTAATAGGTAGGTAATGGTGTTGCTATATCCGGCACAAAGGAAACAAATAAGTGAGAGTCTGAGGCCTCCTAATCGTTCGTAGGTCAAATCAGCGACAAGGGCTCGGTGTATCATCATAATCGTCCAGCGTCGGTAACATGATCGTAGCGGAGCCGCCCTGGATGGCTTGTCGTTGCCCTTCGTGAAATGCTAGACCACAGAATGAAATCGTCGTTGTCAATTCCTCCTGTGGTCTAGCGGTCCAGTCTGGGCTGCTGCTGCCAGCCGTTGAGATACGCCATCAGGCCCATCCCAATAAGAACCACCCCCATCATGCTCGCATAGGGAAGGGTTTGTATTATCGCCGCATCCTGTGGCGCGCGTGTCAGCGTTCTCGACGCTGGCGTGATGGTATTTGCCCGTGAGAGCGTCGGCACCTCTACAGAATCATCTGCAGGTCCATCGTGCTGTACTAGCAGCTCGGCCGCGGACCCGTTGGGCATCCGAGGCGGCCCCTGCAAGCTCTTGTACCGGCTGACGGGCCGTGACCTGCCCTTAGACGATGATCGCGATATGCGTCCCGTGGCTCGTTTTTCTTCTTCATCACGTTCTCGAATCTGCTGTACCATTTCGGCTAGAGTTTTGCGGTCAACATCCCTCTCGGCTTCAGCTTTCTCCGCCCGCTGCCTAAAGGCTTCGAGCTGCTCCTTCAACCCTGTCATCTCCACAGTCATGGAGTCGATGCGGGCCTGGAAGACCGCAGCTAGCGCCTCGACCTTGTCTGGCTGAGAGAGTGGACTATCCTCAGAGGGATCTGCGGGTGTCTCGGCCTCGGGCACTGTGACCGGCTCGGCCGGGGGATCAAACGCCTTATCCAGCTCCGAATGGCCATTGACCAGAGGAGCTTCTGCTGAGCCATTCATCTTCGTGTGGGTGCTTTCTTCCATCTTTTGCATCATCTTCTCTGCCTCGATCCTGGCTTCGCGCTCCTTGTTCAACATTTCTTCAAGATGTTGCACACGGGCATTGTGGGTATCGAGCTCCTTCTTGGCATTAGAGAGAGCTTCGGTCAGCTGCAGGATCTGGTTTTGGCTTTTATCGGGGCCAATTGGCGAAGTGTTGGAAGGGTGAGACTTCGGCCGCTCAGTGGTGCCCCGCTTGAGCGAGGGAATCTCGGACGAAGCCGGCCGCGTGATATCCGGCTTCTCTGGAAGTGGCTGAGATGGGGGTGGAGCAGGTGGCTCTGAGAATCGCGTCTTGCTGCCATCGGACCGGAAAGACACGTTGCCATTAGTTTGTTGGGCTTTGGGTGGTTCGGGAGCCTCGGGCTTGTCAAGATTCTTCACGTCCTCCTTAGACAAGAGGGTGTTGATGAATTGGCTGGTCCGAGCAAGATCCTGGTTCTGGAGCCGCGCATTGCGCATCTCAGTCTTGAAGGCGTGAGTTAGCATTGCGATTTCAACACATTACCAAGTCGAGTACTTACGTGAAGCTTCTTGACAATATGTTCCGTTGTTATCGGGTTGAGCCAGTACTGTCGTTGCTGTGCCATTCCATTGACCGGCCCACCCATATTACTAGGAGCCATGCGATTGCTTGCTGCCAGAGAGGCTTGGCTTCCAGATCGCCCTCTCGGGGGCGCACCAGCCACAGGCAACATCAAGACGTTGTTGGAGGGGTCAATATCTCCAAAGTTCATTTCAAGCAGGTTATTTGACGGGGCAACCATGCCAGCGTGTTCAACCTTGGCGGCAACTTTGTGGTGCACAACCGTCTTCTGGTCCTCGCTGACGATATCGATACCCAGTTCGAGATGATCCTGAGGTTGTAGCTCGTGTGGTTCCGACTCTCTATTTTCGGGAGATAGTCGTGTCCCATTTACAAACGTGCCGTTCGAAGACTTGACATCTCGGATCCAAATCTTGCCGCTTCCGTCCGCCCACACCTCAGCGTGTTGCCTTGACAGCACTTTACTGTCAAAGAAACCGTTGACTGCGGTTGGCACAGTTTTCGCGTTCGTTTGGCGACCGATTCGGAGGGTGTCTGGATAGAACGGGACGGATATCGTCTTTCGGTCAAAAGTGCCATTGAGAGATAGCAAGGAAAGCACGGGTTGCCTCCCTGGGCCCATGCCATCTGTGCTCGGCCGCGAGATGCCATTTTGAGACATGATTTGGTTCTGTTGGGTTAAGATAGATTGGGGCTGGTGCATAACTGACGCCCCGTTCACACCGTTGGCCGCGGGCGGGCGGACAGGAGTCGGCCGGGAGGAGAATTCTTGCGCCCCTTCCGGTTTCCCTCCGGGCCACTGAACCTTTGGTTGGGGCCGCTTCCGTGGTGCTGTACTGGGCCAGCCACTCAGATCTCCAGCGGCGGGCATGGAGTTACCGTTGGTCTGAGCATTTGTGGTCACCGTGGTCGTCGACGAGTTGGAAGCCGTCGACGAGACAGATGAAGAAGAGTTTGTTCGCTGAATAGTCTTGCGAGTTCCAAACATATTGGCGCCTCGTAGGTCATCCGCATTCATCGAATTTAGCGCCTGGCCGCCATTAATCCATCCCGGTCGATTGAGAGTCGAGAAGCTAGGGGGACTCGCAACAGCAGTCATGGGGAACACGTATCGAACGATGGGTCAGGCGAAGAGCTAGGCCGTTGAGGACGAGTATGCTAAACGGATTGGCAGGGGCTGCTGTGCTTCCTGCGCTCCTCGCATGCGTCTTGTGGTTGGCAATATATCGTATGGACGTATTACGATTGATGTGATCGCAGAAGCTTCGCTTTCGACGGGGAGATATCGCGACGAGCTGGGTTCGGGTTGATGGTCAGCCCTGACGTCGGGGCTTGTCGCAGATCGGCCGTGGGGTGCGGCGGTGAAGGCGATGGAGCGGGCGCGCAGGAGAAGAAAATGGTTGTTCAAAATAGAGAAACAGAAGCAGACGGCACATACCAAACAGCAATAGTGATTTCTCGACGGATTCGGGGGTGGCAAGGGAGCTCGCAATGCGACGGCAACATGAAGAGTGAGGTTGGCAAGTTTTTGAGGCGAAGGTCTGTCTCTCCTGGCCGTAGGAGCGCTTAGCGAGGAGACGGGGCCAGAGGGCGATCAGCGCGCACGCGCCAGTTGCAGCCAGGCAGGACTCGTTCCTTGTTCTTCAGTCTGCTAATTGCGGGACAGTGGCAGCATTCACGCATTCCATTTCCAGACCGCGGCTGTGACGAGTCAAATCAGTTAAATACAGCGCCTGCAAGCTTCTCCATGACGAGCAAGCGATACCTGCCATCCGAGAAACCTATGCAATGCAAAAGAGTTTTTTGGTGCCTTGATCCATCTTTTCTTGCCCGTCAGTCGTGCAAAGACCTCGTCACGTGAGCTCAAAATGCGCTTGCCTCCTAAGAGCGGAGTCGAGATGTGGCCCGAGCGTCCCCCCTCAGCCCCCTGGCAGTGCAAGTC